CCCAGTGCTCCCAGTTCCCATTCCAGGAGCAGAAGGAGCTCCTGGCCCTTGATCCCATGTGCCCCCAGTCCCTCCCAGTTCTCCCAGTGCTCCCATTGCCCCGTTCCCTTTCCCATTCCCGGAGCAGAAGGAGCGCCTGGCCCTTGATCCCATGTGCTCCCAATGCTCCCAGTGCTCCCAGTTCCCATTGCAGGAGCAGAAGGAGCACCTGGTGCAGGATCCCATGTGCCCCCAGTGCTCCCAGTGCTCCCATTCCCCCCGTTCCCTTTCCCATTCCAGGAGCAGAAGGAGCTCCTGGCACAGGATCTCCTGTGCCCCCAGTGCCCCTGGTGCCCCCAGTGCTCCCAGTGCTCCCAGTTCCCATTCCAGGAGCAGAAGGAGCACCTGGCGCAGGATCCCATGTGTCCCCGGTGCTCCCAGTGCTCCCGGTGCTCCCAGTGCTCCCAGTGCTCCCAGTTCCCATTCCAGGAGCAGAAGGAGCTCCTGGTGCAGGATCCCACGTGCTCCCAGTGCCCCCAGTGCCCCCAGTGCTCCCAGTTCCCATTCCAGGAGCAGAAGGAGCTCCTGGCCCTTGATCCCATGTGCCCCCCGTTCCTCCCAGTTCCTCCCAGTGCTCCCAGTGCTCCCATTGCCCCCGTTCCCTTTCCCAGCCCCGGAGCACAAGGAGCGCCTGGCCCTGGACCCCATGTTCCGCCTGGAGCACGGGGTGCAGGACCGGGGGGTCCTGGAACGTGAGACCCCCACCCTGAGCCGGCTGCAGGAGGCCCAGGACGCCTGGAGGGACGACTTCGGCCTCAACAGCCGCCTGCGCCGCCAGTTCCGGGTGAGGGACCCCCCAAAATACCAACCTGGGACCCCCCAAAATGCACCCGGGGGTGGGGGGCATCTGGGACCCCCCAAAAAACCCACCTGGCACCCCCCAACCACCCAATGCTGGGCTTTTGCCCAAGCCTGGGAGTGCCCTGGGACCCCAAAATACTCCCCCGGGACCCCCAAAATGCTCCCGGGGGTGGGGGGGATCTGGGACCCCACAATGCCCCCCTGGGACCCCCAAAATGCACCCAGGAGTGTGGGGGGGAGCTGGGACCCCCCAAAAAACCCACCCGGCATCCCCCCAACCACCCCCTGTGGGAGGGGCCTCGGGGCCCCCCAAAAACCCAATGCTGGGTTCTCACCCAAGCCTGGGAATGCTCTGGGACCCCAAAATACTCCCCTAGGACCCCAAAATACTCCCCTGGGACCCCCAAAGTGCACCCGGGGGTGGGGAGAGCTGGGACCCCAAAAAAAGCCACCTGGCACCCCCCCAACCACCCACTCTGGAGAGGGCTTGGAACCCCCCAAAAACCCAACACTGGGTTCTCGCCCAAGCCTGGGAATGTTCTGAAACCCCAAAATACCCCCCGGGACCCCCAAAATGCACCCGGGGGTGTGGGGGGGAGCTGGGACCCCCCAAAAAACCCACCTGGCACCCCCAACCACCCCCGGGGGGGGGGAGCTCGGGACCCCTCAAAAGCCCAACGCTGGGTTCTTGCCCAAGCCTGGGAGCGCCCTGGGACCCCAAAATAACCCCCCCGGGGGTGGGGGGGATGTGGGACCCCCCAAAAACCCACCCGAGGGTGGGGGGGGGATCTGGAACCCTCCCAAAAACCCACTCAGCACCCCCCCAACCACCCACTGAGGGGGGGTCTCGAGACCCCCCAAAAACCCAACGCTAGGTTCTCGCCCAAGCCTGGGAACGCTCTGGGACCCCAAAATACCCCCCCCCGGGGAGGGGGGGGAGTGCTCTTGGACCCCCCCCCCCCCCGGGGGGGGGGTCTCCCCCCCCCCCCCCCCCCGGGGGGGGGGGTCTCGGCCCCCTCTTTTTGCCCCCCCAGGAGGAGAAGCGGACGCTGCGGGAGGAGGAGGAGGAGGCGGCGGCGCTGCGGGCTCGGGCCGGGCTGAGCATCCCCCTGCTGCGGGAGGAGGAGGAGGATCGGCGCCTCGCCGCCCTGCTCACCCTGCGCGCCCCCGACTGTGCGTGGGGGGGGGTCCGGGGGGGGCGTTTTTGGGGGGCTCAGGGGGGTCCCGCCCCCCCTCGGTGACCCCCGTGTGCCCCCACAGCCTACGAGGAGAAGCAGCGGCTGAAACGCTCCGAGATCTCCCACCGGCCCTGGTTCGGCCCCGGGACCCCCCAAAAAACCCGGGGGCCCCTCGGGGGGGGGGTCCGAGCGCACAAGGGACCCCCCGGTCCCCCCACCCCGACCCCCGCCGGGCTCGGCATCGTGCGCAGGAGGGAGAGCGGGGGGACGGAGGGACCCCCCCCGAGGAACGGCGGCGCTGGGGGGGACCCCCCTGCAGCCCCCCAGGGTGGGGGGGACCCCCCTGCAGCCCCCCAGGATGGGGGAGACCCCCCTGCCCCACTCCTGGGCCCCCCCAAGGCCGCGCCCCCC